GAATCTAACATTGGTGAAACAAATTTGTCTAACTGTGCCTACAAGAATACTTTATAGACACTAAACTAGGAAATAGGAAAGCATGGTATTATTTAAATTGGTAAGAAATTTTCTTAAATGACCCATAAAACAATGATGAGATTTATAATTCATGACATCTTACATTTGATGAAATGTAGAATTTTTGTTCTTTGTGACCTGCATAAGAAGAGAATGGACTCTAAACAATTGCTTCTTGTTGTCATAAGATGTAAGATATGCAGAAGACTAGAAAATGGCACATCATGCTCATTCAGAGTAAAGAACATCCTGAAAATTATATATTTCAAGTTATACTTCAAGCATTTAAGAGACTGAAAATCGATTGATTGATTACTTAAAAGCTAAAACGGCCAAAGGTATTGGGTAGTAATCAGTGTGGTTTCCTGAAGACCCAGTTCTATCACGCAACTCGATTTCTCTGTTTGATAAAGTATGTACTTCTTAGACAAATAATAGGCCTAACAGAAATAAATCAAAAGCAGAACTTTTGTTTCAAATTTATATGACATTATTAATTACCAAGTGGGAAGATGGGCGTGGAACAGACATCTGAGTGAATGTTGTTCCAAAGGCATAGATTTGAGAGCAGTCAGTGACCTCTAAAAGTATTTATTATATGTGATTTGTCCATCTATGCAACTTATTGACCTCTTTCTTACTTCCATTTTCTGGCAACTCGTAAGTTCAGAAGAGAAATCAAAATGACCTTGGCAAAATTGATATATATTTTGATTAAACATGGATATCATTTTAGTAATGACAGTGAAAAACAGTTCTGTCTTAAGAGCCTTCATCTCTTCTGCAGGTAAGGGAGCTAGAGAAAACACATTTTGAGATTTTTTTCAGAGACATAGTTGTTACAGGTAATAGACTTTTTAAAACAAGTTGCTTGTAATAGAATCTAAACTATATTGTGATAATCCAACATAAATTGATATTATTTTATTATTTAGAATTATACATTAAGACATAGATAACATTTAAATATTGAGAATCCCAAAAGTTTTTTTTCTGATTGCTTAATTGTTTGAATAGAGTTTTTGTACTAAAGAAACAATAAGGCTGATTACAATGGCTCACACCTGTAATTTCAGACCTTTGTGAGGCTAAGGCAGGAGTATCACTTGAGCTCAGGAGTTTGAGACCAGCCTGAAAAACATAGGGAGACCTTGTATCTATATATATATATATAAAATTAGTTGGCTATGATGATCATGGCTCACTGTAGCCTTGACCTTGTGGGCTCATGCAATCCTTCCACCTCATCTTCTGAGTAGCTGGGACTACAGGCTGCAGTGAGCCATAACCATGCCAGTGCACTCCAGCTTGGGCGACAGAGTGAGACCCTGTCTCAAACAAACAACAAAAAAATTAGTTGGCTGTGGTGGCACATGCCTGTAGTCCTATGACTCAGGAGGGTGAGGTGGAAGGATTGCTTGAGCCCATAAGGTCAAGGTTGCAGTGAGCCATGATTGTGTCGCTGCACTCCAGCATGGGCAACAGAGTGAGACTTTGTCACAACCAACCAGCCAAAACTCCAGTAATTCAGAAATTGGATTTGCCTTATTTACAGTTACCAGTCATAGTTAGCAATGTATTATGCTTTACTTGAGGCATACCACATAGTAGGGGACCCTATGACATATACCAAATTAGTATTGTTATTTTAATCGCCTATTATAATTGTAGCATGTGATATTAATTCTCAAAGAATGAGAATAATATAAGAAATTCTAGTATTTTAATTACATCTGGATTTGTTTGATTATTTAGAAGTTAATCTCAGCATTTTGCACTGTTTCAAAGTCACTATGTACAGGATAGAAAGTCTTCTCGTTTGTGGAATTCAGGATCCTTTGCTGTGATTTTTTTTTTTTTTTTTCTGTGATTGACTGCATCTTAAATAAATACAGAACAAGCATATGAATTCGTCCTTTATTCCCTTCTAAAGCAGTGTTAATTCAGTTCTATCAAATAGCATAGAAAAAAGTTATTATACACACACATTAACTCGTGTTACATTTTAATGTTATGACTATTGCTTTTGTCAAGGTTGTCAGTGACCTCCATGTTCCTAAAGCCTGCGGTTAATTCCTGATGTTCTTACTTGACCTGTAGCAGCCTTTGTCACAGGTGATCACTCCTTTCCTTGGAAGCACGCTCTTCATGCCTTCAGGACACTGCACTTCCTCAATATTCCTCCTGCCCCCCAGTCTCTCCTCAGTCTCCTTTCCTGTCCTTATGTTTTCCCTGACTTCTTCATCTTGGGGTGCCTCAGGGCTTGTTTCACTGTCCTCTTTCTGTCTATGTTCAGTCCCTTGGAATCTCATTTGTTGTATTTGCTTTAAGTACCATCTGTATGCTTATGATTCCCAAATTTATATTTCCAGCCCAGGACCCTTCTCCAAACTCCTCTCTCTTATGAATGTGTCTTATGTCTGTTAGACACCAAATAGCCGTGACATGTCTCTACTTGGTGTCTAATAGACTCTGCAAATGTCACATGCCCAGAACTGAATTCCAGTACCTGTCACCCCTGCCAACTGCTCTACTTGCAGACTTCCCCGTCTCAGTTAATGACAGACAGCTCCATTCTTGTGGTTCAGTTGACCCTTCTCTTTCTTCCATATCTTCGTCCACATTTTTAGGAAATCCTTTTTGCTCTACTTTGAAAATATGTACAGATTCTAACCACTTCTTATCACTTCCATTCCCACTTCTTAGGGGAAACCCTGATCATCTCTTACCTGGATTACTGGAATAGCTTCTCAGCTGGTTTCTGTGTTTCCACTCCTCTCTTCTTAAACTCTCCCCACCTCAACACAGCCTACTGAGTATTTTATAATGAAACCCAGCCATGTGATCCATCTGTTAAAAATCCTTCAATCATTCCCTACTTAGAGTAAAAACCAAAGTCCTTGCAGTCAGCCTATACGGTCCTACATGATCTGGCTCCTTTGTTACTTTTCAGACATCATCTCCTAAGAGTCACCCCCACACTCAGCCTTATGACACTGCCCTTGCTGTTCTTGAAAGACAACAGACATGGTCCCACCTCAGAGCCTGCATTGGCTGTCCTTTTGCTTGGAACACTTTCCTCAATAGTTCCATGCCCATTCTCTTGGGACTGCCATGTACACTTTTCACCAAGAGTCATTTATAGGGCACCTCCCACACCGTCAACCTGCTCCACTCAGTGGTATGACTAGGCTCACTGTAAGTCTTTGCATAAATGCCACTTCTCTGTGATGCCAGTTCTAACCACCCACTTTATTTTATTTTATTTTTCCGTAAGTTATTCGGGTACAGATGGTATTTGGTTACATGAGTAAATTCTTTAGTGCCGATTTGTGAGATTTGGGTGCATCCATCACCCAAGCACTATGTACTGCACCATATTTGTAGTCTTTGATCCCTCGCCCCCCATCCCACTCTTCCCTCCAAGTCCCCTAAGTCCAGTGTATCATTCTTGTGCCTTTGCATCCTCACAGCTTAGCTCCCACTTATTAGTGAGAACATACGATGTTTGATTTTCCATCCAGGTCACTGGAAATGCTGTTAGTCCATTGCTTTTTATAACTGTGTAGTATTCCATTGTGTGTATATATATATTTACGCCACAATTTCTTTATACACTCTTTGACTGATGGACATTGGCCAACCACCCAATTTAAATTTGAAATGATCTTAGCTTTCCTAGCCTCACTTATTTTTTTCTATTCTGCTGCTCACCCCATGTCAATGATTACCTTCTAATAAACTACTTTAGTGACTTGCTGTTTTGATTGTCTTCTTCCCTTGCTAGAATGTAAACTCCATGAGGTCAGAGATTTTTGGTTGTTTTATTTACTCTAAATGCCTATAACAATATCTGGCACATAGCTGGCAATCAATAAATATTTGTTGAATAAATCATTTAAAATATATTGGGTTTTAAAATGTATTCAAAATAGAGAAGAAAGATTAAGTCAATGAATTTTAAAATTAATGTATTTCATTAGACATATATTTACTAGGGAGTTAAAACTTCAATTTGTAAAAAGTTTTATCTTCTAGCTAAGTATATCCATATGTGCTTTATGTCACAGAAAGAATGGATAGCTTATCTTGGTACTTTATCATAAAACAAAGGAATTTCAAGTAATAACAGTCATTTGGCAGCTATGTTTGATAAAGCTTTTTAAAGTTTAATTAGAATTTATGAATCTTTGAGAAGCAATTAAAAATTCCCTGCATGTTATTTATTGATTCATAAATAATATTATGGCTTGCTTTATTGTTATGTATGGTATGCTACAATGCATGTGTTATTCAAGTGCAAATATTGATCACTTCATTAACATCATTAGCGAATTAAGCTACAGGAGTTTTTTTTTTTCTTTTTTTTGAGATGGAATTTTGCTGTCATTGCCCAGGCTGGAGGGCAATGGAGTGATCTCAGCTCACCATAACCTCTGCCTCCTGGGTTCAAGTGATTCTCCTGCCTCAGCCTCCCAAGGAGCTGGGATTACAGGCATGCACCACCATGCCCAGCTAATTTTTTGTATTTTTAGTAGAGACGGGCTTTCTCCATGTTGGTCAGGCTGGTCTTGAACACTCCCAACCTCAGGTGATTTGCCTGCTTCGGCCTCCCAAAGTGCTGAAATTACAGGCGTGAGCCACCGCGCCCAGCCACTACAACAGTTTTTTTAAGTGGCTAGGTAGAAGGAATGTATTTAGAAATATATTTTTTATCATGACCTGGTACCTTTTCAGTAAAATGATGGCACAGCCAGTGTTTGCATATAAGCACAAAGATCAAGAGGTTTTCTGTGTGTGTGTGTGTGTTTTAATAATAGGAAAGCGCTTTTATCAGAGGATTTGGGGCAATTCATATCAATAATACAGCAGTCCTTACTAGCATTTCATATACATTCAAAGCACCCATGAACATGGTTTAGAAAAAGGAGTTGGATTACCTTCTTCACAGTTATGATACCAACTTGGAAATTGGGATCTGTGCTAATGTCAAAGGCATCTGCACCGTCTCCATCCACAATAGTGTATTTCATCTCTGCGTTGATGCCTTCATCCAAGTCCTTGGCAAACACTCTCCCCACAGTGGAGCTAATTGGAGCTGATTCCAACACACTCATCTGGTAATGTTCTACAAAGAAAAGCCAGGACACACATTCTTGATAATCTGTCACTATAAAAATGCCTCACATTATCGTATCTTATCAGGCATGCTGTGCAAAATATCTTTTTTTTCTGGGTTCTGAAAGTAAAACTTGAGTTTTTACAGATAAAAACTGAGGTGCAGAAAGGCTGAGCAAACCGTCATACTGGTCATGGCCTGTACTGGATGTTCAATAAGGAGGAGTCAAACAAGTTTGAGTAGAACAGGGTGAAAGCAAAACAACTTAGTCCTAGTGACCGGAGCTTGAGTGGTAGGAAGTATCTTGCATTCAAATCTTTTAGTACTTCCTAGTGAACTGAAGTATTTCCTCAAACTGCAGTTCCTTATGAGAATGACCAAATAAACACTGTGGTCACAAAGTGCATATTTATTCTGTTTATGCTTCAAACGTTCACCTTTTCTTTCATGGTCTGGCCCATGTGCTGAGTGCCCATCTCTACGACCACCTGCTCAGAGGTCGTGGAGACCAGTGATCTATAAAGGGGGAGCAGCCGTGGAGAACAAGCTCCAGCAGCTCCATGTGCTGCCCCTCAGTGTGTCCTTGCACCCGAGACTGCCTCAGGCTGCCTCTCCATGGCCAGACCCTTCATGCTTCCTGTTTTCTTGTTTCAGAATAAAATACCAAAATGGTTCTCACATGTGTAAGAAGCTCAGAGTTGGCAATCTCCTTTTAGACGTGGTATCTTGAGCTCACAATTAAATTTAGTCACTTTCACTTCCATGAAGTTGCATTTTTACCAACTTAGCTTTTCTGGGGATCAACTTTTTGATGTTCTTTGTTATTTTGTCAATCATAATGTGACTAACTAAATAACAAAAATCACACAATCACATTTTCATTATGTACATATTCCCTTTTATTCTAATATGTTTGTAAGCAATGGGGAAGATTGGGATGTGAGGGCTTGAGTTTCAAAAAGATTCAGGGAGGCTGACAGCACCCAGCCAGCTCATAGCACCCTGCCTTGCACAGGAGAAGACATGATACTTGTTCTTTACAAATATGAGCCAGGAAATCTTTAATACTTGTACTAAGCTGGCAGGCGATTGGATTTCATGATCTCTTTCCATTTACTTCCAAAGTTGTTGATGGATTACACTTTGCTGTTATAGAACTTTTGGGAAAAACAAGCATCTGTCAACAATTTTCCTCATCCCAGGAAAGCTATGTTATATGTTTAAATATCTACATACAATTTCTGCACACGATACATTATGTTATAAATAGAGAGCTTGAGATCTTGATGTTTTATTACATTTGGTTCCATTAAAGGTGACTGAGCTTGTTCAATGTAAAATATTAGGTGTGTTATTTTGTTGGCATTCTGTATTTAGTTATAGTAATATTTGTAGAAAAGAAGCAAAATGGAATTCCTACAACAAGGAATCAGAAGATTAATTAGGGAGAAGAGTATATCCAAGATACGTTTATGGAATATCAAGGTCATCTAAACTTAGTTTTAGCAAATAGATGGGGAACTATTTAATGAAGAGAGAATGCAAAGTTTTAAAAGATCAGAAAGGAGGAAGCAGAGATAATGTGTGTAGAATGCATAGAGACACAGAGATTTAATTTTTTTTACATTTCTATTTTGTCTTCCATGAAACATAATCCATACTTCCACTCTACCCTAGAGTCTCCACTAAAACTGTATTTTGAAAAAGTGACAACTTAAAATGTGTGCTTTAGGATGGTGTTAGGATGTTGGTTTGGGGCTGGGTGCGGTGGTTCATGCCTGTAATACCAGCATTTTGAGAGCCTGAGGAAGGCGGATGACTTGAGCTTAGGAGTCCAAGACCAGCCTGGGCAACATGACAAAACTCCATCTCTACAAAAAATACAAAAATTAGCTGGGCATAGCGGTGTGGACCTGCAGTTCCAGCTGTAGTTGAGCCTGGGGGTTGAGGTTACAGTGAGCTGTGATTGCACCACTGCAGTCCAGCCTAGGTGACAGAGCAAGACCCTGTCTCAAAAAAAAAAAAAAAAAAAAAAAAAAAAAAACCAAAAGATTGGTTTGGGAGGCAAGACTAAAACCCCAGTAATCCTTGTGTTGTGTTCTGCTATTGTGAAGCTGCTATGCTTGGGGTAACGTGACTCCTGACTCCTGACAATATGTCCAAACCCATCTACCTTTCAGCTATTAATAACCTGAGCTATGTAATAACCTGGTTTTTCTGTCCCTTCTGCCTTCATCAGAGGCACCTGTCTAGTGTCAACTGTAAAAGCGAATAGTTCAAGAGTGTTCAAGAACTTACAGTCTATAGTGTGAGTAATGTGAGCCCCTCATGAAGTAATGAAGATGGAATCCACACGATCACCAAAGCAACACAAAGCCCAACCACGTGGCATTTCATAAACTGTTCCGTGATGCTCTCGTGTTCTGCACTGTCGGACCAAGCAACTTAGGAACTTACTTACTTGCACCCTTTGTGAAATGCTTATCTATTATCCTGCCTTTTCCATCATGAATGCTCATGAGGACTTTGTGTGTTCAATTTGTATGTAAATATTTGAGCTCTTTCTGTGTTTACATAGATAGAATGGGAGGTTCACTTGGTCTGGCTGATTCAAAATGCAACTATTCATCTGACATTCTGGCTAGTCTGCCTTGACTCTCTCATTTTAGTTTAGTTATTTTTTTTTAAAGCCCCATTTCCCCAGCTAAGTCTTTCACCTGCAATTGCACTTCCTGCTCTCATTTCTCCCGCTGCTCCCTTCAGGCATCTGCTTCTCAAATTCACGTCTCCATTCCTGGGCTCTGTTCCACAGTCATAGCTCTATATTTCCACTTTCCTTAAGGATGTTCAACCTGATTGTCCTCCTGTCACTTCATATTCAAATCTGAATCTGTCTCCCTCCTTCGCTGCCACTAGTTCTATTATGCATCCTCTATTTTTATTAGTAGTACAATCCTTCTCCCTGTCATCCAGAGTGAAAACCTCATTGTCATCTTTGACTCCACCTTCTGCCATGGTTTTCCCTTAGCCAGGAAATCAAGAGGCAGAAGCCCATGTTTTCTTATTTGTACCATTCCACTCCTCCTGCTGCTTCCTTAAGTCCTCAGCAGTTCAAGTCTGGGCCACTCTAAACACCTCCTAACTGACTCTTGACTCCCCTGCTCCTAGTCTCTGCCCTCGCCAACCCCTCCTCTACATGGCTACCAAGTCAGCCTTTCTTTATGTCTCTTGCTCAAAAACTTTTCTATGGCTTCCACTAGAGATACAACACATTTTAAAGAGTAGGTTTTAATTTTAGGAGTCTTTGAACATAAAATGAAATTGAAAACTTATTTCCAGGCAAGATTTTTTTTCCTCTTGCACATTTTTACTGAAATGAGCTCTAGGACAGTAGGTACTTTGTTTTGTTTGTACACAGCTTCGTGTTCCATTCATAGACTAGTGCCTGAAATAAATATTTTTTGAAAGAATGAATGAGTGACTTCCCCTTCTGGAATGTTTTTTTTTTTTTTCCTGTCTATATAAACCTGTTTTTACTGTTGTTGTTTTTAATTTTTTTGATCTATTTTGGTTGAGAATAAACCTGTTATATTCTGAAACCCTCTATTGAAATCTCATCCTTCTGTGGAGGCTTCATTCATTTCAGTTTATGCATTTATCTCAGTTTTGCACTATTCAAGTGGCACCAAGTTCTACTATGGGTTAATTTTTCCTGTGTGTAAATGTGTCCTCCCAAGTGGATTTGAAGCTTCACAGGAGCAGGGACTGGATTCCAAGTGTCTTGTGCCCCTCATGCCCAGCACTCTCACAAAGCAAGTGCTTGGTACCTACTGGACTGATTGGTGAAGATTGTCACATGGGTGGGTGTGTCCATCTACAGCACTGGCTATCAGTGTGTGCATTCTCAATGGAGTAATATTGCCCCCTCCCGGGGAAAAGATAGGTCTGAGAGGGTGTGATGAAAAAAATCTTAGCCATTACAAGTTTGTGGCCCACTAAAGGTCAGCTCTACCCAACAAAACTTATTCCTTAGTATGGAACTTTATGTAGGGTGGGTGGGCATGGCAATCAGGAAAGAAAGTCTAAAAAGATTCCACAGGGAGATTGGAAAAAATGTTTGAAAAACCCTGGTTTAGTACTATGGGAAGCTGGGGGCCTGAAGGGAACTAGTTATGCAAGAATTGCATGATGAATGTAAGAAAGGAATCTACGAATAATTGAATTTAATGAGGAAACCCAAACTGGTCTTTCTCCTGTACCACTGTAACAAGTACGTCCCTCTAGGTGGCAGGTCTGTGCTCTCTTGGGTTAGGTACTCACTCTGGGGAAAGCGGGGTGGGTTATCATTGACATCCGAGAGCGTGATGTTGACTGTTGTGGTCCCAGCTAATCCCCCAAGCTGCCCTCCCATGTCCTTGGCTTGGATAATCACTTCGTAGTATTCTTTGGCTTCTCTGTCCATGTTCATGAGCGCTGTCCTAATTACACCTGCAGGATAGAAACAACTTTGTTTTTAAAAACAAAACCACAGGTCCCATTTTTTAAAGATTGGTTTCTAGGTGTCTCCCTGGTGCCTAATGCCTAGAAGTGAGATATAAGTCACCTGTGCTTTTAAATTTAAGGCAAAAATCTCAGCTTCAAAAACGGGCTGTACTGAAACCAGTGATGAATGAAAACTATTTTATTCCAGTGGGAAGAGCTCAGAGGGCTGGTTTCCTCTGGCAACATTACCTAAAGTGAACAGGAGATGGCAGCAATGTTTCTCTTACAGATCTGGGAAATTGACGTCTAAGGCAGTTTCAGACAGCGTTGTTTCATCAAAGAAAACTGGGGGCTTTGGATCCAGAAAACAAAGCCTCATATGTCTACAAATCTGCGAATTTAGATAATTCTCCCTCAGTTCCCCAGCCCCTAGAGCCCTTGTAGCGTGAATGGCTCTTCTTTAGGTAACTCATTCCTGCTCTTTCTTCCCTCTCTACTTACTACCTGTAAAAAGGGTTAGAATTCTGATTGGATTTTCCTTTTGCTACATATTCATTCTGTTTTGTGATAGTCTTCTGTTTACCTCTGTGCTTTACTGAATTCTGTGAGCTGGGACATGAAAGATGCTCTGTGAGCTGTTTATTTTTACCATGCATAAGAGATGAACTTCCCCAGACAGCACGCAGCAGATACGATTTCATTTAAGAAGAGGGGCCTAAACCACAATCCGCTGAAATGTGTTGTGATCCTGCCAAGGCTGTACAGTAATTTTTTATCTCCCTTTAAACCCTTCAACTTAAAAAAGTTGACTGTACACTCTAGGCAAATATTAAAGGCTTATTTACTACAGATTTACAACACGACTCTTGGCTAGATAGACCTTTTGCATGAAAATGGAAAAGATTGTGAATAATAATCTGTCCCCAGTTTACCCCTATAATGTATATACTGCATTATAGTAATAACGTCCTCAAGTGATGATATATGCAGCATTTTCTTTTTTAAAAGGCCCCCATGGGCACAGTAATAACTATCTGTTCATGTATTTTTGACCTTGACACTACAGATGCCCCCAGGAGCTGTCAAAATAATGTAAGACTCTTCTTAGGATATAAAGGACACATTACCCTCTTCCTCCCTGTATTTTTCCTCCCTGTGGGCACCCCTTCATCTTTTCATTCTCCCCCTTGCCCTTTGTAGAATTGTTAAAGTTACTGTTTTATAGAAGTCCCTAACTGCAACCTTTTTTCTTTCCTCCTCCTAATTTAAACTCCCTTACTTAGTACTTTTATGATACAATTTTCTGAATGTCTGGTTCCCCTCAGGACTTCTGGGAAAAAAAATTCTATCAGGTTGCTAGTAATAGAAACGTATTTTTTCTTTTTCAAATAAAGAGGTGACTTAGAGTGCTCACCATTAACTTTATCCTGTGGCTGCAAGTTTCCTTACTCAAGTTCCTTGTTAATTACTCCTAGGTTCTATGTTTACCCTCATATAAAATGGAAGTAATAATACTTCTATATCTTTTGCTAGTTTTCAAGATTATTGGGAAGCTCGATATGGCAACGTTTATTAAAGTACTTAATAAAAGAGGAAGCCTGGCACAAGTATAATAATGACATCACAATAACTGCCCAACTCAAACATATTAAATGAAATCTTTCATAGATCCAAACATAAATTCTGTAGTCAAAGCTCTCAGGCAAGATGGAAATAAATAAGCAAACAAAACACCAAACTTCTGTTTGTCATTTTCCGCCGCATTCTTTCTCACCCGTTCAGTTCTCTCTGATGGCCTCCCCATTAGAGTTTCCCAACTGGGACCTGCCTTTTGGGGACCACATCTCATGTGGTGTTTCCTCTCTCATCAAAACCTGACTGCCCCAGCAACCATTCATTTTGGACTGGATCTCTGGTGAGTGCAGAGTAGTTGGCTCAATAGAAAGAACATCAGATCACGTGTCAAGAGACCTCTCTACACTAGATGAGCTTTATTAGCTCTCAGTTTCCCAATTTCTTTATCTGTTAAGAAAATGGTGATGGACTGGATGATTCCCCCAAGGCCCTTTCCAGTTTCACAATCAATGCTTCTAGTTCTCTAATGACCCAGGTGAATGTGTCAATCCACTTGGGTCTTCATGGGGTTATAAAACACCATAGTCCCTGGGAATAAATATAACCATAGGATTTTTTTGAAGGCTAGTGGGGAGCCATTTCTTGTGTGTGCGCAGAGGGGCCTTCTTCCTCTCTAGTCAGACACTAACCACTGTCTATGCATAGCGCTGCTCTTATCCATCAGGGCAGTGCTAGTTTACTCTCTTAATCCTAAAGCTTATAACAATCTTCTCTGGTTAATATGATCCCTGACGAGTCCTTGAAAAGGAGAGTTGGATCTGTCATAGCAGCAGTTATAAATTGTCAGGGAATAAACACCTCTGACTGGACCCTTGCATCAGATACCTGTTTTAGAGTCCACAGAAAAATATGGCTGGCCCTGGAGAATGCTGTACACCACCCGGGCACTATTGCCGTAGGTCGGGTCATCTGCATCCGTGGCTGTCACCTGGATGACAGAGGTACCTGGGGAAGAGAAGACACAGAAACCTGTTCAAGTCTAATAGCTAAAGGCTGGATGCAATCCTGGTACATCTTGAAGCATTTGCAAATGTATGTGGCTCATTGGGAGAGTCCCCTTTCTAGTTCAAGCTTCTGTGACTCTTATACCTGTTTGGCGGAGATGAGAGTTGTGTTTTAAATTTGGAATGACCGGTAAGAACACAGCCTTTGATAAATAACAAAACATTTCTCCCTTATGAATCAAATAACATTCAACCATTTGTTGATTTCTCTGTTTGTCTAGCAATATTGTTTTTAAAGAATCAGAACTAAAAAAAACAATAATAGGCTTATTATTATTATTTTCTCTGGCTGATTCCAATGTTTAAGTAGCTTCCTGCCTGCCAAAGGGCTTGGTCATCATTTTTGGTTGCTTTTTTTGTTTGTTTTTTGAAATGAAGTCTCGCTCTGTCGCCAGGCCAGAGTGCAGAGGTGCGGTCTCAGCTCACTGCAACCTCCGACTCCCTGGTTCAAGCGATTCTCCTGCCTCAGCCTCCCAAGTAGTTGGGATTACAGGCACGCACAACCACGGCCAGCTAATTTTTGTATTTTTAATAGAAACAGGGTTTCACCATGTTGGCCAGGTTGGTCTTGATCTCCTGACCTTGTGATCCGCCCACCTCGGCCTCCCAAAGTGCTAGGATTATAGGCGTCAGCATCGCGCCCGGCCTTGGTTGCTTTACGATTCGTAAGCTGTTCCTTTCATGCTCTCCTGCTCTGAATATATGTGTGCATATGTGTGTATGTGAGTGTGCCTCTGTGTGCTTGTGTGTGTGTATAGGAGGTGCTGTTTGTGAAAATCAGTGAGTTACCACCTTACCCACTGGGGACATTTCTGGCACAGTGGCGACATAAGGTCCATCCAGGAACTTGGGCTCATTGTCATTGATGTCTTGAATTTTGATGATAAACTCTGACTCTGGCTCCATGGGCCTGCCTGTACGCCTGTCTAGGGCTTGAGCCCTTAAAGTATACTGGGCTCTTTCCTCTCGATCGAGTCTCTGAATGGCGTGGATGTCTCCAGTGGTGTCGTCGATGGTAAACACGATGCCAGCACCTTCTCCCGAGAGGATGTATTTGATGGATCCGTCTCCCCTGTCCATATCTGAATGAAGCTGGGGGAGGAAAGCACCTAATTCTCATCATCAAGGTCAACAGGTGTCAGAAATACATTGATTTTCAGTCTGTTACAAACTTATACCCTCCCTTTACGTGAGATTTTTAAACTCAAATGTTTAATAAGTTTGTCTACAAAGAACTAGTATGCATTGAACACGATTGTATCAAGGAGTGGATACAGGTTGATGAATAAGCCAAGTTTCCCATGTCACATTCTGCATCCTGAACTTATTATTTAAAAAAAAAAAATTCTTCTCCCTGAGAAGTATAGAAAACAGGAACTTTGGAAAGTGTAGTTCCCCAAATGCTAGAATAAGAACAAGTTTAATAAGGAGGAATCCTGCCTTTCCATTTAAGAAAAATAAAAATAAAATAAAATGGATAAGCCTAAACATGTTAAAATAAGGAATTCCTGTAATTTTTGTAGTATCAAACGGTTTTATGACAATTCAAGTTGGCTGATAAGCTGGTAGAAGCAGTCTATAAAAAGGTTAAGGGCACTGCAGTGGGAAAAGTGAATGACCTCCGTGGATTCGTCCTCCCATTCTGTGATCCTAGTTCTGCAGTTTCATTCAGTAGGAATGGGCTTGTGTTTCGTGCGTCAAATGGAATTTAACTGCTGGTTATGATTCTTTCCATCAGTGTGTCTAACCAGTCCTTAGCTTGGACTGGTTCTTGGGTTCATAACTGAGTTAATTCAGCCTATATGTGGATGGTTGAGTTAGGAACATGCTTTTATCTGACCTTGCATCTATATTCCCTCTCAGAATACTTTTTTTTTTTTTTTTGACATGGAGTCTTGCTCTGTCACCCAGGCTGGAGTGCAGTGGCATGATTTTGGCTCATTGCAACCTCCACCGTCTGGATTCAAGTGATTCTCCTGCCTCAGCCTCCCAAATAGTCGGGATTACAGGCATGTGCCACCATGCCGGGCTAATTTTTCTATTTAGTAGAGAGGCGGTTTCGCCATGTTGGTAAGGCTGATCTTGAACTCCTGACCTCAGGTGATCTACCCACCTCGGCCTCCCAAAGTGCTGGGATTATAGGTGTGAGTCACCATACGCAGCAAGGATACTTTTAATAACTCTCAAAAGAAGTCCAGGAGCAATATATTTTTAAAATCTCAGGCCTATAAACATATTTCTGCATCTATAATATCTAATTAATTGCAGATAGTTTGTATCGGTGGCAAGAACCCTGGAATTTTGGCCAACTCTGTAGGCAATGGTCTCTTTCTAAAAGCCGTAACAAAACAGTTAAATTTAGTCAGCCACTCTGTTGTTGCCTGGAGTATTAGCTGTTTGCATAGTTCAGGATGAAGTTCATGAGATTAGTTCATAAAACAGCCAGTATTAGGCTTGGAGGAGGGAGGCCAATATATCTGGCCTGAACACTGTCTAGGCCAGCTACAAATTGAAGGCCCTTGAGGAGTTAATTTATAACTGTTAATTTCCTTATGTTGTAAATGGGAGGACAACACAAATACTTATTCTGAAGGGTCACTAGGTTCATTAGAGATTAATGCCCGTGAGGCACCCAGCACAGTGCTTTGTCCATCATAGGAAAGCCATAAATGGGGCCGACCATGATACAAATGCATAGAGAAAAGGGTATGAGCACATTCAGTTCTTCTCTGCTCCCTGCAGACCTCCAGGAGGGTGGCCGAGAGGCTAAAACAACCTGTTGGCTTTTCGGTTATGCCCAGTCTCATGGCAAAAGCTGCAGAATTCTACCTGGAGCATGGCCGGGACAGCTTTACTCTGAGGAATAAACGGCATGAACACCAATAAAACACCTGCAAATGCATCCACAACAGCCTCCGACACGGATGGGTTTGGAGGTTGAGGCTGGCTTTGAGCTGATCTCAGATTGACTCGCGGCCAAATCAGGCAGGCAACGGTTTTGCTGCCTGGAGGAACTCAGCTGTGTCTTATCTAGAAAAGGGAACTAAGGGAATAAAATTGACCAAAAAAATAGCTGCAGACTTTTTTCTATTTATTCTATTTAGAATATGAAGTTCTCACATTTCCTCATTCAGTATACAGTATTTTCTTTTTTCTTTTCTTTCTTTTCAATCCAAATCTTCTAATTATGCAGTTAAAAAAATAAAGGTGGCCAGTTCTTGTTGTGTATAATAGCCGTTTCATTTGGTCCTGCCTACAAAGAAATGAAAAATCTATTCCATTTGGAACTGTGTTCTCAGGCAGAGGAACAGAACTGGGGGGAGAACAAGGATTTTAGAATGAGTTAAAAAATATGTATGCATGTAGGTGTGTGTTTACATATATAATATTGTATTTATGTAATTTTATCACATGTGGCATAGTTCTTTTAATGAAGTACGTTTAATTTAGGGTATTGCAGATTAGGGAAGGAAAAATAGATGTTCACAGAAAGGCCACCCCAGGACTGTTCCAAGGTGCTCTGTTTATGAAAACCTTTTGATCCGTAATCCCAGAAATACTCAGCACACCTGTGATCCCTCACAGCTAAGCGCACTTTAAGAAACGACAGAGGCCCAGCCTTGCTGCAGGTACTCCTGACGCCTGGGGGTTGCCGGGCAGGCTGGTGCCTCGTGGAGTCTGGGCTGAGGCTTCAGTGTGCGGCCTTCGCTTTCTGTGTGCCCTTCATCTTGGTGTGGGCCTGACGTCTTGTAAGTGTGCAATGAAACTGTATTGGAAGAAGGGTCTAGGGGAGGGCAAAAGTTCCTTGCGGATCGTGCTAGACCTGCTTAAAAGAGCTAGGAGCACCTTTCCAGGAGGTTCGGAGCCTCGGTCTGTACGCGCAGGTGTGAGCAGGAGCAGGGGAGGACGAGGAGGGGAAGGGAGGAGTGGGGAGAAAAGTAGTGGGGAAGGGAAAGGGAGGGAAAGCGATGGAGCCCACAGAGAGGAGGAAGAGGAAGGGAGAAGGGCGAGAGGGAAAGGGAGAAACGGAGGGGGGAAGGGAAAGAGAGGGAGAGGGAGGGAAGGAGGAGAGGAGGGGAGAGGGAGAAGGGGTAGAGGGAAGAAGATGGGGGAAGGGAAAAAGAGGGGGTAGGGGGTACAGAACACCCCCAGGGAAGCAGGAAGCGTCCAGCTTTGAAGCATGTCAGGATACCCCTATCAGTTTGAGGCCTAGTCAGGGAACAAAACTCACACCTGGTTTCAGCAGGGAGAATTTCCTGTGGAGATCTGGAAGGCAAAAAGGAAGCTCCGAGGCATCAGAGAGAGAAGGCGCACAACTCCAGGAAGAACAGCCAGTGCCCCTCTGGCTGGGGGCAACACAGGGCAGAGGTAGGGACTCTGGCATCTGCAGGTTTGGAGGGGAGCCCCTTGAGGCTGGGCCTGAGACCCCTGAGGAAGGAGTGCTGCCCCTTGGGCTGGGGCCTCAAGAGCTTCTAGGAGGTGCTCCTGCCTGTCCCTGGTCCCCTGTCCCCTGGGACTCAGACCTCTTAGAAGTAGGTGTGATGAGGCTGGGAGGTAAGAGGAACAAGTCCTTTCTCCCTCCTCCTGCCTCCTGGGCTCCCTCTAGTACCTTCTACGGGCAGGCAGAACCTACCGGGGAGAGGAGCTGGTTGAACAGGAGAAATTATGACTTGGAGAGCTTCAGCCCCAGCATCCAAAGCAGAGTATGGTGAGGTGAGCATAGGGCTGAGAGACACCAGCTTAATAACCCATGCAGCAACGTACATTTAATATTCTGCTTTACCAGCCATAGAATACACAATTGTTTTCAAAAATTGCAAAGAACAGACATTAACATCTTTTCTACAAGTCACTCAGCAAATTGGCAGTGTAATAAAAATGTGTTTTATATTTATCCATATTTGATTCAACTAACACCGACTGCGCGCCAGCTATTTGGAAGAATGTAAGACGCTTCCAAGCGGAGTCAGTGGCACATAGTTATGTACATCTTGGGAAAATATTTTTGTCTCCCTGAAAGAGTCTTTTAGGCAGAATAAGACAGGTGAATGACTCACTTATTCTAATCATTCTTTAGTTCTTAAGATCTTCAGCCAAAGGAGTAGTGAGTGATGGGAAGTACAAGCAGATTCTGCAGAATCTTAGCTGATTTAGGATTTTGGAAACAAGGGTGATGTCCACTCTTTTGTCGTCTCTCAGAGTGCCTTGAATAGTTAACGACAATGCAGTGAGTGCTTACAATCTGCGGTTAGGCAGCTTCCATGCAGCTGCTAACCTCGGCATGATTTGGACCCACAGATTCTTGCACAAGCATGAGCTCTCAGCCCCCCTCTCTTTGCATATGTCAATATAATCTAGCTTTAACTCGACACTGCCTTGTCCCTGGAAAGCCCAGTGTGGATTTTGTAAGGCCATACCAATTACAGCTGATAATTGTTACCATACTACTTTCTGAAATAAGCAAATACTCTGGCAAGCTCTCTAAACAGACATCTTCCGGAGCTCAAGGTGACAAGCAGAATGCCTCTGGGAAAAGAGAATGAAAGTGAATAAATTCCCTTTCAAAAGAAAGGAAAGGGAAAAGTGCCTAAGTAAGTGAATGTATAATACCTTCTTCATGTAGAGCTAACACACCTAATGCAGCGTAAAAATCTTCCCTTGGTTGCTGGTGTGAGGATTGGATCAGATGACTGTTGAGATGCATGGGTGTCTTGTCTTGGTTGGGGTTATTTGGAAAGGGTAAGCACTAATTGTGAATACTCAAGGTGCTGCACAGCTAAGAACTCCCCGTGTCAGAGTTAAAGCGTTCAGGAAGCAGCCTGGCTCAATAAGATTCCCAATCTCACCTAAACACCACTGACTCCTGTGTGTGTCTCCCGGCTTAGTCTAAAGCTTCAGGCCACAGGCTCTTTACAGTGTAAAGGAAAGCCGGGCCCTTAGGGTGGAAGTGGTGGATATTTTGGTCTGGGCTTTCACTGCTACCTTTGGTGTAACTTTGGGCAATGAACATAAATAGTCTCTCTGAGCCTTGTTCCCTGTGTTATTTACTTTCCTCACAGCACTGTTGCGATGATTAAATGACCTGCTTTATGTGAATGTGACCGACACATAGTACTATGCTAGTCCAATAAAACGTTAACTACCCTTTTCTTCACTCCTCTGTGTGCGCGGCCAGTTCTGTGCTAAGTACTCAGCGTCTTAGCACAGGGGTGTAGATGGGGCGTGTAGACAAGGTTGGGGAGTGCCGTCTCAATTTCTACCCTCAGGAGGAGGGAAGAGAGCCCTAAATTGTATATGCATACAAGTAATTACTGAAAATTATCGAATACAAACATATTCTTTTCTTAAACTTAGCAGTGGCCATGTATGTCTGTTTGAAAGTAATGTTATATAGATATGGAGAAGCTAGAAGTTTTCAGAATTCTGAGTAGATGCAAGATGTGTTAATGATAGAATTGTCTGATTTTAAGCAGAAACTTGGAGGAATTTGAATGTGGCCTGACAAGCAGAAGTCAGGGCCTGTCCTGGGCAGAGCAGCAGCGTGGGCACACATGTGGAGTCAGGGACAAACGTGGTATGTGTGGCAGAACCAGCTAGGGAGGTCCAGCTTGATTGGGATGAGGACCTGATTTGAGAAATCGTGCAAGAGGGTTGGGTGAGGGAGGAGGAAGTCCTTGGACCGTGTGCTAGGAGCTCTGATGGCATTCAAGAGCTACAGTGCCCTGGGGGAGGGATGGGAAGAGTCTCTCCACGGGGAGACAGACAGCACTGCTGCAGTTAATTTAATCACAAAGACCAAAGGCTCACAGTCATGACAGAGCCTGGAGAGGAGGAGGTGCATCTGAGAGAAACTGGCACGGAATTACTGGCAGATATGGTGACCGATTGCACATGAAGGATAAAGGAGATAAGGAAAGAAGATGTCAACAAAAACTCAGAGCTTTTGAGGCCAAAGGATTTGCAGCTGCGTTAGGTATTACTGAATTGTTATGTTCCCATAATGAACTCCTTAAACTACTGTCACTATGACCACTATTAATATTATTGCTACTATAGTACTATTTACTACTACAGGGTAAGGATAATTAAAGTTTTAATCTGGACTGAGTACTGTGCAGAGTGCTTTACATGCAGTAGCTTATTTCATCCTTACTACACAGTGAGGTATTCATTTATTAAATATCATCTTGAGCACTTTCTACAAGATAAATGCTGTGCTAGGCCTTGGTGATAAAATGGAAGCAATGTTTTCACTTTCATTGAGTTTCTAGTTTAGTCAGAGGCTTCAGACAGTAAACATGTAAATAAATAAAACATGGTGGTTGTGATTAGGGCTGTGAAAGGGAGTCTAACAGAGGGGCTTGCCTTGGAGAATGGTCATGAAAGGCATGAGAGAAGCCAGAGGAAGGGCATTTCATTATGGGGGAGCAATAAAGGCAGGATGCAGGACCTGCCGCAGGCCACATCCCTGCAACATGAGAATGAGGAAGACAGTAGCTTGGGCCATGGTTGGATGGGATGGGCCATGGCAGGCTGAACCAGGAAGGAACGATCTTGTAAGCTGTGGGGAGGTGTCTGGAGGATTCAACACACAATGGGAAGACATTGAAGAGACATAAATAGATGAGTGACTTGATCTGATTTGATTTATAAAAAGACCATAGTGGAGAACAGGCTGGAGGGAGGTGCAGGTAGACATGAGGAGACTGGTTGGCAGGCTAGGTGTTTGCCCAGGTGACAGATAATGGTGGAAGCAGGGATAAGAGAAATGCAGGATTTGGTTTATTCTGACATAGGACTAGCAGAATTTGCAGATGGAGAGAATGTGGGGGCATGGGAAAGGGAGGAATGATCTCCAGGTCTCTGATTTTAGGAACTGGGTAATGGGTGGGTGATGGGGAGACTATGTTTGGGAGAAAAAAGCAAGAGTTTCTTGCTGAACATGCTACATTTGAAAGGCCTATGAGTAAAAAATGTGGAGATGTCGCATATGCGGTAGTATTTATAACCCGAAGTGGTCTAAGCCAGAGATAGAGGCTTTGCATTCACTGGCATAGACATGGCATTCAAAACTGCAGAGGTGGCGAGTCCACCCAGGGAATGAGTGTGTAGAGAAGAGGCCGGGGCAAAGCTGACAAGATCACCCACAATTGGGGTCAGGTGGAAGGAGAGGACCCACAAATGCGGCTGAGAATAAAAGGAGGAAGAATGGGATTGTGACGGTCATGGCGCAGAGAGGACAATGAGTCAAGGAGAGACACGTCATCGCTGTCTGAGGTTGTCATAAAACGAAGCCATTGGACTGGGCAGTAGGGAGGTTTTGAGAAGTGATGAAAACATAGCTTTGGGTCAAGGGTGGGGACTGAAGCCAGACCCCTGGGTTAAGAAGTAAGTGGGAGCTGAGGAAAGAGCTGGGGTGGGCAGCACTTGAGAAAGGGCCATTCTCTCATCCTCCTCATTCGAATTTGAGGAAGCCAAGGCGAAGAGGGCTTGGTGACCTGTCCAAAGTCACTCTGGAAATAATTGGCAGGGCTGGGCTTTGAACACACATGTGTCTGAATCTGAAACCCATGCTCCCAGCCTCTGCTAAACAAGTGATTATGTTACCATTTGAATGAATTATTTATTTTCTAATTAGTTCCTTGTCTCCCATTCTCTCTCACTTGATTGCTTTCACAAAATGGTCTCTGATTAACACCCCAATAAAGTAAACACAGGAAAAATCCAGGCTTAAACATGAAATAATGATAGATTAAATCAAGGAAATTTGAGTGTAACATTTATAAATATATTCATTTATTGTCTCCAACTATCCTAAAGCACATGCTAGGATCTTCTGAAATGAAAAATATTTTATTTAGTTTTTTTCATTAAATTTGGGCTTCAGGCAACACCTCTGGAAAGGCTCTGCAACCCCACAAAAACACAAAGCAAAAAACCCTGTACTCTTCTCTTGCATTTCCCAGTTTCTCTCTTCCTAATTCTGTCATCCTCAGACAGCTGCTACTGCCTCTTTCAGGACTTGAATAGCTCGTGTAGGGTCTCAGCCTTTTCTTTCAAATCCCAGATCCCAGTTTTCCCCATTCATAACAGAGATATGGGCAAGGAAATAAATCTTTCCTTTGTGATTGGTATCTGACAAAGCAGAAGCTACACTTCAGCTGGGTGTCAAGTAACATACCACTAGTTCCAATTTTTCTCTGGCCTCAGACACAGCTGGGTGAACTTTCATATTCAATTCATATTCAATTTCAATATCCATTACCCAGGCCATTTCCACCTGGCATTTCTTACCTTGCCGACATACAAAGGGTCGGTCCCAGTGTACTCTTCCAGAACGAAAAACTGGTTCCAAACCCAGCTCCTCTTGGTCCGCTGATGTGACTGTGGCTCGTCTGACAGGAGCGCTTCTAATTCACCTTGTGGTGTTGCGGTACCCGAGAGAACAGTGGTCGTAAGGTCCATCAGTCCCCAGAAGTACAAGGACATGCCAAGTCCAAGCCAGTTCTTTGCATTGCTCATTCTACCAGAAGTCCACATGGGATTGCCAGGTTTTCAGAAAGTAAAGGAGGATGATAAACAACTGGAACTTGAGTATTTTCCAAATGAAAAAACAAAACAAAACAAAACAGACACACACAGTTTTTATTGGACACTGATGCTTCCCAAATGAGATCCCAATTCAAGTCAATCTGCTTGAAGTTGACTTCCTGTCAAGATAAAGAAAACACAGTGTGATGATGTCAAATTCTTTCCTGCAGGCAGGTTGCAAGTTTTCAAGAAATGTCAGTAAATATTCAACTTTCTATTCAATGAGTTAAAAAGTCGTAACAGGTTATTGCTTTAGAAATGTTTCGGTAATAAATACTATTTTGATAATAAGACAACTCATCTTGCTATAATCAATCCCAAACCTTTGGATATAGATTCGGTATGAATAAAACTGATGAATAAATTTCTTCTCACTTGTAACTTAGCTGGAGGGTTATGCCGTATTATTGATTGGCTTGAATTAATAGTGTGCTCTTTGAAATATTTATGATGAGACAGCCTCTTAAACTTAAAAATAGCATTCATTTACAAAATTTACAGCTAATAACTAATGTTTCCATTAGCCCAACTGCTTTTCTTCGTTTATTACAAAAATAGGAAAATCCAACTACCTTTTTTTTTTTGGTGTCACCTATAATCTGGTGCCTACCGCTGTTATTGATAATGCTAGGAATCTTGGACTTCATTTATAAGCAGCCATGGATCACTTCTGACTTTAATCATTTTCTGAACTCCTAGTGGATTTCAGATTTCACACTCTACTGCTTTGGCTTCGAAGCACTGATAGGGGCTGCTAATTTGACCTTTCTAGGTTTTAAATGGTCAGTTAATCATTATATTCTTCACAGCAGACTGTAAAGTGCTATTAGTCACATGCCTATGGGAGCAAGCTAAGAGAATCTAGTCAACAAATTTCCTTTCTTGACCTGAAAGACTCTTTGAGGCAAAGAGACTTCTACCCTGGGGACACATCTTTATCACTCAAACTTCTTTTGTTGTTTTGCAGTCAGATTTAGCTGGTGACCTCAGTCCTGGGCTATGGCCTCATCAGTGTTTTCTTCCTTTACTTGGCTTGGTTTAATAAGATGGTATAACACTCAAGTCAACCTGTCAAAACAACCAAAATGTCTTCTGTCAGCTTAATATTTTCACTGTTAATTTGAAGAACTGCTGTCGTCTGAAAACAAACCTGTGTATTTGGAGATTGCAGCTCTGTGCAACTAAATGCTACTTCATTTCTACAAGTGGTTTGAAGTGAATGCATTGATGCTGACTCAGTTACTACCTTCCACCTATCATCATCAGAACTGGTTTCAGCTTCCTCTCAAATACTCGTGACTGAAATGTACAAAAGAAATTTTAAAATATTTTATAATTATTTCATACTATATGCCATTTCATTTCTGTATAAGAAATCACTTTCATGAGAAATGATAAAGAGAAAGTAGCTCAGGAGACTATAGAATTTTTTGCAGCAGAATGGGATGCTGTGCCTCTTACAAGCTCTAGCTCTGAAGGCGGATTGATTGAGAAAAAGCAAGCCAGGTGCACCTGAGGGCAATGTGTTTGCTAATAAAGAACAATGGTGCTGCTAGCAGATGGGTTACCAAATATGAGTGTTTTCTCTCTCTCTTTTTTAGACTGGTGGATGTCTTTCCTTAGAGAGAAGCCCAGTTCATGTTTCTCTGATCCCTGTCTACAGGGAGATATTGCAGAAGAAGGCACCCGAACCCAGGAAATGAATCGATGAGAAAAATTAGTGAGAAATAACTGTGCTGTTTTAGGGACCTAGAAGGCAGAGTAAAGGGCATTGCCAAAAAAAAAAAAAAAAAAAAAGCCATTGCCAGAATACTGTAACTAGTAAAGCATAAAAGCAATATAGTGTATACTGCAAGACACAACGTATCTGTAATTCCTCAAAGTACTTTAAGAGTTAGACAGTTTGGTTACTGGTTCTGTCTTCATTACCTCTGAATTATTTACTTACTTGTATGAATTTCAATTTTCTCATCTATTAAGCAGGGACAATAATTCTCCCACCTACCTCAGTGGACCACCATGAGAATCTGGTGGGATCATGCAGGTAAAAGTGCCCTGTGTTTTCTGAGGTGCCAACTGACATTTGAACAGTCAGATAAAGTACCTGTGTCATATGTAAAAATAATGGGGCTAAGCCGGAAATATATATTTTATGGGCACCTTTGGGGTGAGATTTCTGAAAGGGCTTATAATGTATATCTGTTATTTTTCAGATCTTCATATCTGTGTTAAGTACTGTCTGGTACCAGATTCTGGCTCAGTCTAATTCTGTAATAACACTGGCTTTCCATCTGATGAGATTTAATGGAGGGCTAGCTATTAGAAAACTCTTCAACAGTAGAGAAAATTATTTTGTGGATTGCATTGATTAAAGCGAGAACTCACTCTACATATATATGAACATATATATTCTATTTAGTGTATTTCCTTTAATGTCTGTGTTTCTTATGTACATTTTGCCTAAGCACACATGTCTGTTATTTTTCTCTGGCTAGTTGTGGCATCTTGCTTTGAATCTAAGTCTGGGTGTACATGCATGCGTGGTATGTGCAGATGTCTCCTCTCCTGCTTCCACTGGCCACATTTTATGTACAGAATGAGATTTGGGGGATTTGAAGTAGTGTCTTTTATATTCCCCATTTCTAACAAGCCAGGCATGTGTTTTTGCCAATTAAAACCCCTGGTCCCTCTACCTAAGGCATGATCTAAAAAGCTCAAGGAGAAAGCCTTCTTTGAAATCTGTGATGAATATTTCGTAGGCAGTTGGGTTGCCTCTGTTTTCATCTCCCTCTCTTTCCTATTTTGGCCTCCTACACACTAGTGCAAATTCTTTCCTGCCTTCCACTGAACACATACAGAAGTGGCTTTGGGATCTTGACCTCGGGAGCCCTTGGTGATTCTGTGAAAGCTGATGGTATCTTTATACACCCAAAGTCACAAAGACTGCAGTGTCTGTACTATATAACTTGTCTTATATAACTTGATGGCAACAATTCATGGAAAGCAGTTTATTTCTACTTCCTCAGGGATGAAGGCATGAAAAAGACTCCCTGCCTAACTTTCTAGAAGGTAAAAGCTGGTTTACACAATAGCTGTATTACTCTTTTCACAATTAGAGCTTTTTTTTTTTAACAAAACAGTTCTATCAAAAATACTAATCAGTTTGCATTTATTATAAATAAGGTAGTTTTCATATTCATGTTTTTTCCCTACAGGATATGAATAGCAATACTGTCTTTGGGGTGGGCTAATTGCTGTTGTTCTTATAAAAGAAGATACTTACACATTATATTTGTGTATATAGATCTGCTTTGGAAGACTACATATGCCACATGAAGAATACATTAGTGGAAATTGACTTCTGTGTTAAATGAGTCTTTTAAAAGTTTTTCTCCCCCATCCTCCCTAAAGAAAGAAAACAGCTTGGTAATGAACACTGTAGGAAGAAATTAAAGTTGTACATAAAGTGTGCTTTCAGTGAATTGTTTATTTGTTACTTAAATTTGTTGTGATATTTAAAATGTAGGGGGGGAGGAAGGGTTACTGCTTTCTCCTTGAAATGAACTGGGCTTTTATGGTCTTCCTCTGATTTCTTTCCTCATTATTCCAGTTTTCCTGAGCTTTTCATGGTTAATGGAAGTACTACTTAGCAAAACTCAAATGACATCTCCGTAGAAGCAGTCAGTCAACTGTGTTTGTGCCTCTGTATAAGAAGACGGGGTGCTTTAATGTTCTAATGTAGCCTAATGCCTTTAGAGAGGTAAATGCAGACAGTGGTGTCATGGTTTTAAGAGCTAAACTTCTTAAGCTATCACTTTTGCTTATAGAAAGAGCCTCAAAAATGCACTTAAAAGAAAAGAGAGACTTTGTGGAGATTTAGATATTACAATGAAACATGACAGTGAACCATAAGGAGTATCAACATTAAATCAGAATGCAATTTAATGTCATAATGCTATTCTACCTCCTTATCAAGGTTCTCTCTTGAGAAATAGAAACAAACTCATTTTACTTAGAAGTTAAAATCCTTCTGTATAGAGTATAGGACCCCAGAGAATGATACAGGTGGTCACGGGTATAAATTGGAGTAGAGTTGTTTGTATATTTGAATATGTATGTTCACAAACAACAATATTCCTATTGTGGAATCCCATCCAGAAAATCGTTTTAGTGCTTCTGTAAACAAACTTTCAACATTTCTGGATCTATTTGCATATGTCTGTGCTACTGACCAAAGTCTATTACTAGGAATCTGTCTTGGACGGGGTGGATAGTATGGTTTTATATGCTGAAAGGAGATGCAGTTCTCTGCCCTGAAGTTGTTTTCATTTACTATGTTTTTATTATATTTCTTCTATCCTCTATTCAGAGAGATTTTAACTCCTAAGTAAAATGGGTTTGCTTCTATTTCTTGAGAGATAACCTTGGTTGGGAGGTGGAATAGCATTATGACATTGAGCTGTATTTTGATTTAATATTGATGCACCTTATGATACACTGTCATGTTTTGTTGTAATATCTAAGATCTCCATTAAGTCTTTCTTCTAAGTGCATTTTTGAGGTTCTTTCTGTAAGTGAAAGTGATAGCTTAATTTTCATTTACCACCGAGGTTCTATCCATCACAGTTTCTTCTGGGATGGTCATTAGGTGAGTGGAAGCTCCATGTTTCTTTGTGGTCATCAACTCACCAGCCCACCCAAAGCCATCCATCTATGGAAGCAACCGACTTCCAACAGGGCCAGAAGAGGTGGTCCAGGTACTAGATTTCCTGAATTTTGAGTTGTACTCTTACTTCCACTCTCCTACCGAACCCTCACCTGCCATACCACACCCCTCCTCCCAACTTAACATTTCTGAAATTAGAGATTCTTAAAATCAATGTTTACGTATTTGATGTTCTCATAGTAGGCTTCCCTCACTCCTCAGAGAAGCTGTTAACACATTGATGGTGTATGCAGAATCAAGGAATTATAGTAGTACCTTAAAAAAAATGGAACAGAAGAAGAAAAAGAATACTTAATTGCCACGGAGATTTCTTAGAAAAGATGGTCACCACGCTTGCTTATTCTAATTTTAATTATTTATCTTTCTATGAATTCCTTCTCCACTAAGTTCCTC